ATTACCTTACAATGCTTCCTTGATCTTTTTTGTTTCTTTTGTTATTTCTTGCTCAGGTATTATTTGGTTTTGTTCTTCAACTTCTTTTCCTTCATCTATTTTTGCTTATTTGCATATGTTCTTAACTTGTTATTTTCTAGCCCGATCTTCTGTTTTGGTGATACACTGTTTGGCTTTTTCTCCCCTTATTGATTTTGCATCTAAAGTCTTATAACTGCAGCTCTGCTGTACATCAGTTAGTTTGTGTTTTGCAGTGAACTGATGCTTATATCTGATACTACAGTATTGACATATTTTAATAGCTGTGCTAGCTATTTTGTAACAGGTTTTAATGCTGACAAGCTTATTCTATTATTTTTGTGCTGTTCTAGATGCTTAGTTATTCTTCATTTAAGTTCTTTTTGTTTTCCAGTTGAGGATTTTGTTCTTTCTGAGGAAGAGATAGAACAGAGGATGGCTGGTTTGGGAATGTAAATGGTTCAGTAGTGATGCTGGCTTTATTATTATGGTTGGTCACACTGTCAACCAGACGTTTAAGCTGGATTTGATTTGTGTATGTGTGTCTACCTATCAAATCCTTCCTAAGGACCTAGGATTTTTATAATGCAAATCATGATTTAAGATTATCCATGTGAACATAGTAGCCCATATTCTCTTTTTTCTTGTTCTAAAAAGCAAATTGCTTGTTTACAAAAGAGGAGAAACGGGAAAGAATGATGAAGAAACCTTAAAAATAAATACACAGCTGTTACTAGCCCATCTACCCACACATATTTAATGTAAATGAAAAAGAAAACTTATTTAAACACTTCTCTTTCTGGTGCTCCTGTTCACAGTTTGCTAGGCAAGTAATCATTTTCAAATCTTACTGACAGATTGGCTGGGATCTAAGGATCCTTGCTTAAAGAACCTAACCCAGCTATGCCAAATTGCTGTCCTCCAAGGAGCTTATTCTTCAAATTTCAGAATTCACATGGGTCACTGAAGTTGAAGTCCAGCAGACCAAGAGGACATTAGGTTGGAGAAAGTTGTACATGCTTCTTCAGATGTATAGATTATATCATTTTTAGATTGCATAGATATCCCTAAATACTGGGCATCTTGGTCCCTTTAATTTAAAAGCAGAATTTGAGGCATCTCTTAGTACTGTAGTGAGGCAACCTCAGGACTCTTTGGAGTAGAATTCAACATTGTATATTGATAACTAGAGCAGATGGCCATATCTTGGCAGATTCTAAGAAAATGAACCAGGTTCTGATCTTGTTAGTTCTTGGATAAAAGATCACTAGTCTCTAATCTCAGTATATTAGACTTTTAAAGTTTAAGAAGACAAAGGCAAGCCAGCTCCATATGTTACCATAAAATGAGCATAAATGCCTTCATGTAGTCACTGAGAGTTGAGTTCAACACGAGGAAGGTTTTATCTTCAGTATCAAATAAAGTAAAGGGCTCCAGTGCTGTTGTATCCATTTGTTCCTCTTGGCTCCCTGTACTGTGGTCTTCTCAGCAGGCCTGCTCTGCCTTCAGCTGGAATTGCTGTTGGTTGAGCAATTAAATTCCTTTTACACACACCTTTTACAGAATGTCCTTTTATACATTTCTGAAATCAATTCCTTCCACTTCTTGCTCAGTACTATTTTTTTATGTATCTGAAAACATTGGTTTATAATAAATATAAGTGCCAGTTTTGTGTAATGGTCAAGGCACCAAGCTAGAAGCTGGGTAATTTAGTCCTGCTTGAGGCATAAAGCCAGCTGAAGGGTGACTCGCAGCCCCACAAAGACAACAGTGGCAAATCATTTCCAAAACTCTTGCAAAAAAAAAACAAAAAATCCTGCAGGCACTCATCTAGGCAGTCACTAGGATTGATTGAAAAAAAAACATCCCCTTCCCAAACTTGAATATAACTTAGCTACAACTTTCAAAAACTTCTAAGTATATTACTTTCAGCATTGGGATGCTTCCGATTTTACTCCCCCACCCCTCAAAAAAAAAAGTTCATAACCCTCTCAAACGACATTAGATTTGTTTTCTTTCATATCATTAAAAAAAAACCTTTAAAAATAAAAATAATCTAACTTCTCTGCCCTATCATTGTTCCCCACCAAGAAAGTAAATTTCGTATTTGTATGTTTTACTCTTAAAAAAATGTATAACTAATAAAGATTACTTAAAAAAAAAAGAATCTGGAAAAAGAAAGGAAAGATAATAAAAAATGGTATACTCTGTTGAAAAAAAAAAGTAAGTAAATTTCAACCAAATACAAGACTG